GAGGTTTCTAACGCGATACCTAGGTAGCACCACGTGCGCGAAATCGCTTCTTTAAAACGTGGGCAAATCTTGTCGATTTCGTTTCCACTGAAATAAGAGAAACCGCTTCTGATTCTTAGCATCCCCCAGGGTTATCCCAGTTACCCGTATCCGCGTCATGCCAACCCTGAAACGTCTCTTGGAAGTCTGAGAAAAGTCCTGTCTAGTTCTGAAGTCTTCCAGACGAAGCCCTTCCAAGTCATCGATCATAGGACAGCATCCCTGTACCAGTTTTTCTTCTTCTTTTTAATTACATCTTATTAATTATCGGTACACCAGAATAACTTGTTCCCTGGAGTCACAAAGAGATTTCGCTAGCTGCCTTTAAGGTTTCTCATACTTTAAACGTCCTGGACCATCTGGGAATTACCTTGCCAAGATAATTATCTCAATTATCTCGGGTCACTTTTAATTGATTACCTGAAAGTCCAAATTTTCTTTTGTTCCAGCTCAGTGATACTTGCTCCATATCAGATTGTGGCACCCCTCTTTATGATCCCTGTAGGTCGGTTAGACTCGCTGGTATCTTCGTACCCTTAGATCTTCCATAAATCGTCCCCTAGCAGTTTACGTGATGCATCTTCTATGTATATCTGCGGGTCGCAGATGGTTCGTGGGACAAGTTCCAGGAATGAGAAAATAAATTCCATCATCTCGTCCCCTTTGGGATCTGGTTTTGCATAGTTGCGACAACGGACAGCCTAGTAGTAAGTATCGAACATCCGGTTGGCTCTGGAGACGACGAGCTGCCTTCTTGAAAATCAGGGTACATTCCAATTTTGGATTGAAGACGATTTCATAGCGCAGCAACACATTCCTAGATAGCAACTCCTCTACCTTCGTCCCTCTGTCTTAACTCGCAATTAGCCAGCTAATCTCGGTCTTAATTTCAGTATCACAGATTGATATTGAAATCGTAACGTGAATAAGGTATGTATGAGATTAGCATGGAAACTATCAGAAATTTCAGAATCAACTTCTTGAGTGAATCCTTGATACAATATATATATATATCCAAACCGTATGCAATATATATTACATCTATAGCCATGAAGTCTTACTTCACCTAGCTGAGAACAAGAGTGCAGGCTATTAGCTAAAGTATTTCTATTGGCTGTAAAAACGAAAGGGAAAAATGGCATAATGACCGATAACAGTACTTCCGTCGATGCTCAGGACAAGTTTCAGGCAGCTCGCGTAGAGACTGATTACAACATCCGGTCCTGGTTAAATGCTCGTAAATTTGAACGCCCGCCAAAACCTACTACCGCCAAGACGCCATTAAGACAACAAACCTCCATGAATTCCAAGTTCTCCTTTTACTGGCGACACGTGACACTCACGTTGTTCCACTGCCAACCGGTATATATATATATATATAACAGGGAACCCATAGAAGCTATTATTTAATACGACCAGAAAGGCCCCACAGTCGTCGCGACGTCTTTTCTCATAGAAACTTACCATCCCTCCTTTTTAATTTTACATTCTTCTCTGAATACTTCAGGTCTTTCTAATGTACCTACATTCAGACAGTCGTTATAATTACTCGATAACGTACCTGGAGGCGGCATTGCTTCATTATGGGAATGGGTGGTTACAAGGGTCGATCATTATTAGCATAGATAAGGCCGGTCTCTTCGTTCGATAAGACATTCAGCTCGGACGTCGCTGAAGATGCTTGGCAGTTTCCTAGTTTACTTTCTATCATGAGTATCCAAAGGAGTCATAATGAAGTGTCCAACACTCGAGCCTGAAGGAGGGGCAGGGGGCGGTTTACTCTGCGGTAGAATAGGGGATGCTAGGTGGTAGGAAAACGAGGATGAGGTTGAGACTGAGCTGTAGAAGGGGGGGGGGTAGGGTAGGTAGGGGTAGGGGTGTCGCTGTGGCGGCGGAGGGGTGGCGCAGGGGTTGGTTGAGAACATTGGAAAGTAATCCAAGTAATGGCTCTCGATATCCAACGAGGCACCCCCTAATTAAGGGCGCGTGGAATTATTGGCAAAGAATATCTCTGCCAGGTCACCCTCGATATCGTACCTCGTGTACCACGTTGCTAAAGGATCCTGGACTTTGCCCTCTTCTGGCAAAATTAACCCTGAGCTTCTTACTTTCACGAAATCAAAACGTCTGATGGGTCTGGAAGAAAAAAAAAAAAAACCTTTGAGCATACTACTCCGTATCTAACCGCTATTTCGATGTACTATTCTTGGGGCTGGTTGGTACGCGGGAATTCATCAGACATTTTAGCTGCGTCTTAGTCGGGAAGCAGTTGGCTTCATCAGACTTTGAAATTTATTCAATATTGAATAGATTGCCGAACAGCCGGTCTAATGTATATATATAGAAGTCAAATGACGATGAGAAAACGGAAGGTGGAAAATCGACTGGGACGTCATTTATTGACAGTATTCAATGACGTAACTCGTATTTTATGAATAACACTGATTTCGGTAGATTTACGCCAGAGATGGCTCCGTGGTTCGCTGGTCGAAATCTTAAGTAGATTTTCGCACTTTGACCTAGGTTCGGGTTAACTACCGCCGCTATTCCTAGGGAGCAAACTGTTCGGGCTGCCTGCCTTACCGACGGCGTCAAACTTTGTTCAAGACTTCGAAATATCGTTAACGCACGTTAACGAAGAATGTTCAAGGGTTCGATGGTTAATGTAACTAAATGTTGTTTGTTTTCATTGAAAATCAACTGTCACCCGATGATTATACGATTATTCGGTGTAACAAAGCTGGTTGATATAATAGTTAATTGTTCGATTAACACAGGCCTGCGGCTCGTCTCATTGGTAATTATTTTACGAGGCTCCATTTGCACATCCTGCTATCGTCAATATCCTACCCCCCCCCCCCCCCCCC